GAACCATCACACCAGTTTTGGAGCCCTGACAGCGTCTCCTCTCTGAGGGGGGAGGGAGAACCTGCTGTTCCTGTGGGCACCTGCTGCAGGTGTTGCTGTGCCGTGGAGGTGGGATGGACTTGGCACCTCTGGGAGCAGCTGGGGTGGGGATGGATTTGCTCCATGGGAGCCAAAGCACCACAGTGCCCGTTGTGCCCAGACTGCAGGGACCTGCCTGTGCTCAGCGAAAGAGGCAGAGCCAGGGAGGAGCATCAGCCCAGAGCCCTCTGGCTGTTGACAGGTTTTGGTTTTGTCTTATGATCTGGAAATGACAGTGAGTGTGGGCTGGGCAGCACCTCGTAACCCTTTGGGGCAGCCTGGGCCTGCTTCTGTGAGAGCTTCTCTGTTAAACCCAACAGAACCCAGCAGGGGCTGGCACAGGGGGATTGGCACAGCCAGCCCTTGGTGCCTGGCTGTGTTTGGTGCTGTCCTGCCCCTTTGGCCTGGTGCAAATCTTTGGACAGAACATTCCTGCAGTGCTGGAGGAGAGACATGGCTGGATATAGTGGGGTGGGAGCAGCAGTTGGTGGGAGATCCCTGTGAACTTTAGTTTACAGGTGAGATGCCATCAGGAGGTTTCAGAGCTACCAGTGAGGTTGTTTCAGTCCCTGCAGACCAAGGCAGGTGTCTGTGCCCCCTGGGTTTGAGCTCCACTCTGCCTTCCTGCCCACATGGGAGTTCAGCTGGGATTTTTTTTTAATAGAATCATGGAATGGTTTGGGTTGGGAGGAAACTTAAAGCCTGTCTTGTTCCAATGGAGGGACAATTTCCACAGCCCAGGTTGCTCCAAGCCCTGCCCAACCTGGCCTTGGACACTTCCAGGGATACAGGGGCAGCCACAACTTCTCTGAGCAACCTGTGCCAGGGCCTCCCCACCCTCACAGGGAGGAATTCCTTCCCCCCATCCCATCTATCCCTGCCCTCTGGCAGTGGGAAGCCATTCCTCCTTGTTCCTGTCCCTCCATCCCTTGTCCCCAGTCCCTCTCCAGCTCTCCTGGAGCCCCTTTAGGCCCTGCAAGGGGTTCTCAGCTCTCCCTGGAACCTTCTCTTCTCCAGGTGAACCCCCTCAGCTCTCCCAGCCTGGCTCCAGAGCAGAGGGGCTCCAGCTCTTGGAGCATCTCTGTGGCCTCCTCTGGATACATTCCAACAGCTCCACATCCTTTTGCTGGGACCCCAGAGCTGGAGGCAGCTCTGCAGATGGGAAATCACCCGAGCTGAGGGGAAGAGGGGGAACCTGCCAAGAAAAATGCTCTTTCCCTGACTTTGCTGCCATGGGACAGGCTCCATCTTGGAGCCACATGTTGGGACACTGGGGTGTGAGAGTGGGGAATAAAACTGCTCTGAGCTGACCTGATCTTTGTTATTTCTTCTGCAGGAACGCCAAGGTCGTGTCAAGTAAAAGGCCATTCCTCCCCAGAGACTGCAGCAGAGATTGCATCCCAGTTATCCTTCAGAGAGGCAAAGAGAAGGAGCAAGAGTATCCCAGAGAGAATTAGGACTTTTTTTTTTTTCTTAATTTCATTGACTTCAAAAAAAAAAAGACTTTTACAAACTTGCAGTTTAAAAAAAAAAAGTATTGGAGTATCACAAGACATAGGACTTAAAAAAAAACAAAAACAACAACAAAAAAAAATCCCTTCTAGGTAGAGTAGAGGTAAAACCTGTCCCACTTTCTTTTGGCTTTGGTTGTGATTTCAGAGCATACGCTTTGTTTTTTGTCTTTTTACTATGTTTTTTTTTGGGATTTTCAAGTCCATAAGTGGCATATGCCTTTTTTTTTTTTCCCTCTCTAATTTTTAAACCCTGCAGCCTCCCTTCCTTCCACCCTCTCGCGCCTCCTTCCCCCTGGTTTTGACATTTGCACTTGGAACACCGAGTTGTAACAATCCACCCGTGGAGAGTGGAGTAATTTTACTTTATATTTTTCTTTCTCCCCCCCCTCCCCAGCCTGGAAAAGGATGAATTCTCCAAGGAAGTTGGGAGTTTTTTGGCCTAAGAAGAATTAAACAGAAATTATCCACGAGGTTGTGTCTTAAAGGTGGTTCATTTTTCTCCGACCCTTTGTTACTCAAAAGTCAAGTACTAGGAGTCCTAAGAAATGTTCTGTTCTTGTGCATTATACAGATTAAGTCTGGATGAATTTGATTTTTTTTGAAAGCTGAGAACAGTGGTTAAAAAAACTCGTTTTGTTTACAGGAAAAATTAATAATTTTGGACAAGGAAAAAAAAAAGAAAAAAAAGCACCAAAAAAAACAAACCAAGGAAGAAATAATTGTAAAAAAAATGTGTAGTGACTTTGTTTCAGTTTCTTGTTAAACCAACGAGGAATGGGCGTTGCCTTTCTTTTCACCATTAATCACTTCTCAGTAATAAACGTGAAATCCTGTTGAGCATCACTGGTGTCTCCTGGTGGTCAGTGGGTGTCCTTGAGGATATTGAAAATATCCCAGTTATTAAGTCATAGCTGGGAAACATCTGGATCCAGCCACCTGCTCAGGTGGAAGCTGATCCTGGTGATCCTGGCACTCCCATTTCCCTGCTCCCCTGCAGGATGGGATGCTCCTACACCCTGTGTTGCTGCACTCACTGAAAAATCAGCTCAATTGTTATTTTTATTGTTAATCATTCCTTTTGAACAGCAAACAAACAAAACTCAGTTCCAAAATATTCCAGTGGGTGTCAGGTAAAGACCTGGGCTGGTGTTTCTGCAGCTGTCAAAGCACTTCTGTGGCCATTTGCATTTTCCTGGGATATTTTATATTACATTAAAGGCCAAGTTGGACAGGGCTTGGAGCGAGCTGGGCTAGTGGAAGGTGTCCCTGCATGTTAGATTAGGTGGTCTTTAAGGTTCCTTGCAACCCAAACCAGTCTGTGATTCTATGATTTCACTTGCTTTCTCCAAAAGAATTTTTCTCTTCTTAATTCTTCAATACTTTCAGTCTCTCTTTGAGGTGGCCAAACCCCCAAATTCCTCACTGGTGTCCTCGTGTGCTTTCAGAGGGAGGTAAAACCCATGTTGTTGCAAAGCTGGAGGAGGGAAGGACAGAAACTCGATTAAAAGCCCAAATTAACAATTTGTCTTCTGAGAGAATTTTAGTTGTAAGTAAAAAAATAAAGCTGGAGAAAGGGGTTTTGGGCTATGCCTGCAGGTGTTTGTGTGCTGGTTTCACTGTTGGTCAGGCAGTTTCTTCCCCTTTTTGGTCTTCAAGTGACAACCCAAGAGACGTGGGAGGAAGGGGAAGATGGGATTTGAAAACCACGATACTTCAGCTGCAGGTGTGGTGTCTGCAATTATTTTTATTTAAGGAAAAAACAACTTTATCCACTGGTCATATCCTTGTCCTCCAACCTGGGATAAGCTGCTGCTTGAATTTCCCCTGCTTCAGTCTGGATCTGGTCCTATTTTGGTCTAAACTGGGACAAAAACTGGGAATTTTCTAGGTTTGCTTTCAGCAGGGCTGTGTGTGGAAAACTGCAGGATAAGGGCAAAAAAATCCACCTGTGATTATAACTGAAGACCCCAAAAGCACAGAATGTCATCTCACTGTGAATGGGGCACAGGTAAGAGCAAAAAGGTGTTTGTTACTGTGATTTCCTTGAAAAAGAAAAACAGGTAAAAGTATTTGGTGGGGGGTTCATGGGGAAAGGGAGAGGAAAAGCTGCTTTGGTGCTGTGCTTCCCAAAATTGCATAAATCCCTGGAGTTGGGTAAACCCAGGCTGGGCCTTTGCAGGGACTCGTGCAGGGGCTGATTTGGGGTTTTCCAAACTTTGCAAACACCCCAAATCCCTGGAGGGAAACAGCTCAGCTGAGCCTTGGAGGCAAGAAACTCCAGGCAGGGGCTTGAGGGGGGGGGCAGGTTTGGTGCTGTGGCTCAGCACCAGTGTGTTTGCTTGGGAAAAGGAAATTCCCAGATCTCCTGACAGAATCATGGGATCGTTTAGGTTGGGAAAGCCTCTGAGATCGTGAAGTCCAACTGTTAACCCGGCACAGCCGTGTTCACCATTCCTGGGGGATGCAGGATGGTTGGGGGGCACAGGACCCGTGGGAGGATGAGGATGAGGATGCAGCAAACAGAACAGGGCTCATCCAGCCCGGATGGAGGGATTCTGGCAGCCTTGGGGGACAGCAGGGACACTGAGAGCAGCAAACCCTCAGCGGTGACAGCGTTATCCAGGAGGAATTGCTCTGCAGGGTGGAGCTGGATGTGGGGGGAAAAGCATCCTCGGAAGGGGCAAACAGTTGGGAAAAGGGTGTTAATGTGGCCAAGCTGATCCTTGTTCTCCTTCTCCTCTTCCCCCACTAACGAAGGTGATGAGATTTCGCCCCCTCCCTCCATCCCAGACGTCCCGTCTGTGTTCCCCGATCCCACTCCATCGGCTTCAGCGCCTCTAAAGGCAGCAGCACCCTCTCCTGGAGAGGGATGACCCGGGATGGGGCTCTGTGGGCTGGGGAGGGGGATTTAGGGGCGCCCCGGGCTTGCATCCCTTCAGCCGAGTGCTGCCCTGGGGTCCAGGACGGCCGGGGGGGCCCGGACCCTAATCCTGGTTTGGGGAGGCTTTGCTGGGACTCAGCCACGGGGGTCTGGAGCCCCACTCCTGGGTTTTGGAGGCTTTTGGCAGGGCCTGCATCCCCACTCCTGTTTTTGGGGAGGCTCTGGTGGGGCCCAACCGTGGGGCCGGGGGGGCTGGAGCCGTCCCGGGGTGACCCTGGGGCTGCGTTAACGATTGACGGGGCTGCCGGGACACTCCGGGACACTGCGGGACTCTGCCCGTGTCCCCTGCGGTCACCCCCGGGGCGGGGTCCACTGTCGTGCCCCCGGACACGCTCGGACACCCGCGGGGGTCCCACTGGGGGGTTCCCCCGGGGCTGTGCACCCTGTCCCTGTGTCCCCGTGTCCCTGTGACGGCCCCTCCCGTGCCCCCCGCCGTGACCCCGCTCCGGGCCGGGCTCTGCCTCCCGCACCCTCTTCCCTCCCAGTGCTCCCAGTGCCTCTCCCATCACCTGCAGCGTCCAGCTCCCAGTTTGGAGGGTGGGACAGCCCCTCTCTGGGGGGCCATGCGGGGTGCGGGGGTGCTCCCCAGCCCCGCCGAGGCTCTGCCAGGCAGAGCACAGAGGATGACAGTGACAGGTACTGGGGGCAGGGAGGGGGTGGCACCTTGAGCCCCCCCCGAGCACCCTCGTGTGGTTTTTGGGGGGCTGCTCTGAGGGCATCAGCGCTGGGGACACTGGGACACCCTCATGGGACACGGAGACCCCCCTGGGGACACTGGGATCCCCTGGGGACACCCGAATCACCCCGGGGACACAGGGACCCTTCTTGATGACACTGGGATCCCTGAAGGGTCACCAGGACCCCCTCTAGAGACATTGCGACCCACCCTGGGGACAGCAGACCCCCCAGTGACGCTGGGATCCCCCTGGGAACACCAGGACCACCCCTGGGGATAGTGGGACCCACCCTGGGGACACGAAGACTCTCCCTGGGGATACTGGGACCCTCTTGGGGGCACCAGGACCCACCCACGGGACACCCTTGTGGTTTTGGGGGGCTGCTCCGGGGTGTTGGTGTTGGAGGATGGCAGTGACAGCCCTGAGATGCCCACAGGGGCCCGTTTGGGATCAGGGTGGCCATGAGAGGACACAGGCCAGTGGCCAGATGGGCCAGAAGGGGTCCTGGTGTCCCCAGAGGGTGATAATGTCCCATGGGGAGGGTTCCGGTGTCCCCAGGAGCTGGAGGGGACAGGGACAGGGTCAGTGCCTGCTTTTAGGGGGACACACAGGGTGGAGGTGGCTGCAATTTGGGGTGGGCTGAGGGTCCTGACCCCGTGTCCCCCCCCCAGCCACCCACGCTGTCACCGGGAACACCACAGTGCCGCCGTTCCCGGCGGAGATGGAGACGGCGATTTTCGGTGAGTGGCTCCTGCAGAGCCAGGGGAGGGGGGTCCCAGCAGCCCCGGGACCCCCAGCCCCACTCACCCCCCCTGCCTGTCCCCCCACAGGCATGGGCTGCTTCTGGGGGGCCGAGCAGCTCTTCTGGAACACACCAGGGGTCTTCTCCACCCAGGTGGGGTTCGCGGGAGGCTTCACCCCCAACCCCACCTACGAAGAGGTTCGCACAGGTAACCGGGGGCTCCCCCTCCCCTGCTGCCACGGGGACCCCCAGTGCCCCCCACAATGGGTGACATCCCCATCCAGCACCTCAGGGTGTCCCACAGCCCCTTGCCCTGGCCCGGATCCCATGGGATGCTCTCCAGTGTCTGCTGGACGATGACCCCCCTGTCCCCCACCCCAGCCCCCCAAGCCCCCCCCAGCCTGGACAGACAGCCCTGGCTTAGCTGGACAGACGTTTTGCAGAGGATTAACTGTCTGCAGGGAATATTATCCCGGCTGCCATGTCCAGCTGGGGATTTATCCCAGTGTGGGATAGCCTTGGGGATCCCACCCCCACCAGGCACCTGGGGAAGGGGGTCCCGGGGGGTGAGAAGATGTTGGTGCCCCTCCCTATCCCAATCCCTGCCTCCATCCCGGGGCAGGGGGAGGTTGGGGGGCAGGAGGCCACGCCGAGGGGCTGCAGCAGGGCTGGCTCTGCTCGCAGGGCTGACGGGACACGCCGAGGTGGTGAGGGTGGTCTTTGACCCCCAGAAAATCAGCTACGAGGAGCTTCTCAAAATTTTCTGGGAGAACCACGACCCCACTCAAGGTAGGGATGAGCCCCTGGCCTGGGCACGGGGGAGTCTGGGGGACCTTAACCCCAAATGGGCTCCAACAGGAGGATCTTGGCATTTGCATCCCTTGGTGCTGGGTGCGGGGGGGCAGCACCTGGGGCAGCCCCAGTTTTGGAGGGTTTAACCCCAAACAGGCTCCAGCAGAAGGTCCTTGGCATCTCCCCAGTTTGGTGCTGGGGGGTCTTGCAGTGACTTCCCTCACCGACCCCTTTAGCAGGACCCCCCTGCCTTGCCCCTCATGCCTCAGTTTCCCCACTGGAGGGAAGGCAGTGCCTGGTGGGGTCTGGGGGTGCCCCATAACCCCCCCCCCGGGGGCTGCCCCCCAGGCATGAGGCAGCAGGAGGACGTGGGCACCCAGTACCGCTCTGTCATCTACACCCTGGGCCC